GAAGTCTCTCTCTTGTTGGAGCCCCAGCAGTCCCCAGAGAGAGTGGTGACAGGACCAGTGTAGGAATGGTGCTTTCCGGCTGTCCAGCAAGCTCTGGGCTTTTGACTGTATTTCACCTTTGCTGACAGATGAGGACACCTGAGGTTGGGAGAGGGTCGCCCAGCCATAGCTGGTAGTCATGAGATAGGACTCAGGTCTGGGACCCCATGGCCATTGCCCAGTGCAGGAGAGCATTGTCTGTTAACGACAGGGAGCTGTGGGGCTTGATGGTGAACTTGGGACAGCTCTGTTGTAGTTAAGACATGGGTGAAGCAGAGGAAAAGGGTTCCGGGTGGAAGGACCATCATACACAAAGGTTGAAAGAAAAGCCAGAGAGCACCAACACAGACAGCCAGGGTCTGTACAGAGAGCAGGAGGCGGCAGAGATCAGAGCTCTGGTCTGTGTATCTGTGTGACGTTTAGGAACCACTAGAGCCAGTGTATGCCTGGGACTCAGGGTTGGGAGACGAGACGGAACCCTGCTCCCAGGGACCCCAAAGTCAGCCAGGAGCCTGAGATGGGGAGAGACCAGCAGTGCATGTGAGCTCTTTTTTTATTTTTTAAATGAATTCATTTTTATAACAACAACAATTACTCATTTCAATGAAAATTTACAGAGACTTTGGGTTTCCAGTCATTCACTGTTGTACTTTTCTCCCCTCCCAACCCTCCCCCCTAGTACACTACCCTCTTGGAAAAGTAAAAGAATTCTTTCATTGTTTTACAAACCCTCCCCCAGATCTACTCCACTATGCAGCCTTTGCTCTGGACTCCTGTCATGACAAAAATACCTAATCACATATGCCTTTTAAACAGTTTTCTCCCTCATCTGTTTCAATACAGTATACATTATTGAACCCATCTTTCTCAGTCTCCCCCCAACCCCAGTGTCAGTCCTGTTTTACAACAGTGGCACCATGCAGTATTTGTCCTTTTGTGACTAGGATACTTCACTCAGCATAATGTCCTCCAGAGTCACCCATTTTGAACAATATTGCATGAGTTCCTTGTTTTTCAAGGCAGCATAGTATTCCATTGTGTGAATTTACCACAGCTTCTCTATCAATTTGTTTGTTGATGGGCATTTAGGTTGTTTCCAACTCCTTGCTATTGTGAACAAAGCTACAATAAACATGGGTGTTCGTATATCTATCTGCTTGGATGGTCTCTTTGGGGGTATATTCCCAGTAGTGGAATTGCTGGGTCAAGTGGTAGCTCTGTTTGCAACTTTTTTTAGAAAATGCCATACCACCTTCCACAGTGGTTATACCATTTTATACTCCCACCAACAGTGAATAAGGGTTCCAGTTTCTCTACAACCTCGCCAGCATTTGTTGCTTTGCTGTTCTGTTAAATTTTGCAATTCTTACTGGGGTGAGATGATATCTCATAGTTGTTTTAATTTGCATCTCTCTTAGAGCTAGGGATTTTGAACATTTATTCCTGGGCTTGTTGGCCATCTGAATTCTTCTTTGGTGAAGTGTCTGTTCATACCCTGTGCCCATTTTTCTATTGGATTACTTCCCTTTCTCTTGCTGTGGTGCTCAAGTATTTTAGAAATTCTGAATATAAGTCCCTTATCAGACGTGTCATTCCCAAATACTTTTTTCCCAGTCTGTGGCTTCCCTTTTTACCCTGTTGGAGATATTTTTTGATATGCATAGGGATTTGAGTCTTAGAAGATTCCATTCATCTATTTTATCTTCTGGTTGTAGGGCATGTTAGCTCATAATACCCCGGGATGGTGTCAGGGAGAGCTGTGGTCAGGGGGACGCCTCAGACACCGGCAGCCTCGGAGCCCAGCTTGGAGGGCAGCAGTGGAACGGGGTGGTCCCTCTTGGGTTCAGTCAGCAGCTCTGATGGAGTGGGGACCGGATGGAGCGGGGGAGAGCAGAGAGAACTTGATAGGGCTGAGGAGGGTCTGAGTGGGAGGAGTAGGGTAGGGGCTAGGTGCGTGAGGACACACGGGGCCCCATCTCCACAGTTGGGGTGCATTGGGAAGATGAGTTGTCTGGGGAGCAGCGTTAGGAGAAGGGGAGCTCAGGAGGGCATGATGACTCGCACACGGCAGGGGGTGCTTAGCCGGTTTCATGCGAAGCAGGAGATAGAGCTGGTGGTGGCTGTCAGGAAGGTTCTGACCCACAGTGACCCCGCGTGCAGGACAGCTGCCCCACGGGGTTTTCAGGGCTGTGACCTCAATCACCAGGCCCGTCTCTGGAGGTGGCTCTGAGCCTTGCAGTGAGATTGGAAGAACTTTTTTTTTAAAAAAAAAATTTTATTTTATTTATTTATTTTTTTGTTGTATTATTTTTACGTGTACCATCAAATCAGATCTGAAGGAGATTGCCCCCTCCTTCTCCAGCAGAGCATCTGGTGGATTTGAACCACATACATCTGGAATTGCAGTGCAGCGTCTTGCCACTAGGCCACCAGAGCTCCCTTGGAAGAGCATCTTTAAGTGAATGTTTTTGTCCAGACATTCCTCTCCTCTAGGTCGTATAGCCCTGGTGTACAAGTTGCCGTCCCGGTCGCTTGTGGTTGCTGTGAGGCTGAACCCTGTGACACAGATGTGTCAAATGCGTTAATGGTTGGCTACCCAGTGCGGACTGAGAGTGGGGTGGAGCTCCCTGATTAAACAAGTGTGGAAGGAGGAGTGGCATCCACTTCCATAATAGCTTGTCTCCGGAAACCCTATGAACTTGGAGAGAGGATGAAAGGCACCCAAGCGTCAAGGACTCTCCTTCATAGGGTCGCTATGAGTCGCCTGCAACTCGATGGCACATAACAACAACATCAGGATTGGGTGGCTGGGTGAGGTGGGAGCTAGACTGAGTGCCTTCTCCAAGGGGACACAGCCCAGGACCAGAGGCTTTGGGCCAGGACACACAATGCCTCGACAGGCCATCTAAGCACATGTGACCTAAAGACAAGGGTGGGCTGGGGTATGGGACACAGTGTAGGGAGGGGGCCTGAGGCCACAAGCCCCCTGCTGGCATCCTGCAGTGACACCCTGAGTCCTTGCCAGCTGAGCTGAGTTCCGGCTGCTGGAGAGGCCACAGAAAGTATCCGGAGAGGGGCCAGTGACCTCGGGGTGGTAAATAGTTGTCACAGAATGCTAGCAAGTGACAGAGCCACTGAGAATGATAAAGCAGGGGGTAGTTTTCGGTGGCGGTCAGAGAAACCCTCACCTAGAAACCGGCATGTGAGCCGAGATCATAAGGATGCGGACACCGCAGACCTGCTCCCCTGCTGTCCGCCGGTTCAGATCACGCCGCTTCCGGCCTCTGAGGCTGCACAGCTGGATGGGAGCAGGCTGCCTCGCCTCCCACCCTTGCGGCAGTCAGTGGGTTCACACTGCTGACTTCCAGATTTGTAGCCCAACATTTAACCTGCCACCACGTCAGGGCAAAACAGACTATTCCGTTCCCGGTAACGGGACTTGTCAGCCTTCTGGATTAGCAGCAGAGTGTATGACCCCCCAAGGGAATGAGCTGCATGATTGGGGGGGGCATCTCAGGTGCTGCTTGGATATCAGGAGAAGCATCTCAGGGGCAGTGAGTTCAAGAAGAGATGCAGCCAGGGGGCCTGGAGACGAGGCTGCGCGCAGGGCAGATGGCACAGGGCCTAGGGCTTTGCTTGGAGTGGGGTGGGAGCCCTGGAGGACTGGGGGGTG